GCAGGAAGACTGCCATGAATTCAAGGACAGCCTGGGCTACATACACAATGAGTTCAAGGCCAGTTTAAACTACATAGTGAGACCCTATCTCAAAAAACCAAAACCAAAATAAAAAACTAAAGATAATGTGAAATAGTCCATAGAAAGTGTGTGTAATAGTATGACAATAGTATACACAGTAATTTAGTGGATCTACTTTTCCCTTTATCTCTGTATCCAAATGCCATTCATATATATGTATTCTTTTTTTTTTAAATGTATTTAGTGCAGGGTCTACAGGGTCTCACTCACTACACAGATCAGACTTGTAGTGATCCTGTTTTCAGCCTTTTCCCAAGAGCTGGGGTTATAGGCACCGCACCAGCATGCCCAGTCTCAACATGCCCTGGGGGCAGAGCTAGCATGGCACCCTGGGGTTTGAACCCCAGTTGCTCTACCTTTAAAATATAACTTCAAAAAAATTATTTCCTATACTGGAGGCTGCAGGTCAGTGGTAGAACACTCACCTGGAATATGTAAGACCCTGGGTTCAATTCCCAGCACCAAGAATATAAAATAATAGTAACAATTTCCCTAGATTCATTCCAGAGTCAATAAATGAATAAACACTCACTTGTCCCATCATCTGGTTCAAAGTGGCCAGTATTGTTCCATGTATTGCCGCTACTATTGCCATAGTTATCATCGGTACTGGCTGGCTCTGCATAATCAGCTGGGTTGAAAGTTCTGAAAAAAATAAAGCTTAAAAGTATCTCTGACCACTAAGCAGCTTCAGCAAATATTAAAGAAAACAATCAGAATTTTGACTATATGCTTCCTAACACAAAACAATCAGCACCATCCTGTAACCCAAATGTGGTCTACTTTTATCAGCTTAACCAAAATGTCATGGCATGTGATAATTCCTAAGAAATGAGCCCTAATTCTACATATATTTCTGCTTAAATACTCGAGGACTGATTGATTTGATCACATTTTGTTAAAGCTATCTATGGTGACTCTTGGAGGGAAAAATTAAGGTCCCTGGACTAATTGGAACTTACCCCATTCCTTGAGCAGAAAACCTTCCTCCTCGCCTACCGGAGCCTCCTAAAGAGAAGAAGAAATATTTTAGCAGTTGATGTGAAACCACCTTGCTAGCTAAGGCAGCTTTGCAATAGTAAGAGGTTGATACTACCAGATGTTCTTGTAGTCCCACATAGCCTGTCAGTTAATGTAACAGTAGGACAACCATTACTACTGACAGATTTTTCCTTTGCTATTCAAACTGCTGAGTCTTCAAGCAAACACAATAACAACAGTAAAAATGAGAGTTGACATCTATCTTCTTTCCCATTCTCCATTTCAGCAGTCTCTAGTATATCCAGGACACTTCAACAATTTAGATAGTAACCAGACTCCCCATTAATTGATTTTAAATAAAGCAGATTTAGAGAACTAGAGCAACTTGCCCCCACCAGGCATGGTAGTGCACAACTGCAATCTCAGCACTCTGGGAGGCTGAAGTAAAGCAAGTAGCAAGTTCAACTCCAGTCTGGGGAATTTAATGACTTAGCAAGACCCTGGCTCAAAAATAAATAAATACCTAGCACTAGACAGATAACTAGATAGACATGATAGACAAAAACACAAGACAAGACAATGCAATACAGGCTGGGGATGTAGCTCAGTGTAAAGGCCCTGGGTTCAATCCCCATTAAAATGAATAAACAACAATAACAGCTTGGGCCAGGGAGATAGCTAGGCAGTGTAAGCACCTGCCCAGCAAGCACAAGGACACAGGTTCAAGCCCCAGTACTTCATGTCATGCCAGCTCTGCACCGAGCCAGCCACCAAAACCAGGTATGGTGGTGTACACCTGTAATCCCAGCACTGGGGAGGCTGAGACAGAAAGATCACTACAAGTCTAATCTGTGTAGCAAGACCCTGTACCAAATAAATAAATAAACAAAAGATTAAAAATAATAATGATGGGCTCGGGAAAAAGGGAGGCTCGGTATGAAGCTCAGTGTGAAGGCCCAGGGTTCAATTCCCAGCACCACCAAAAAACCAAAACAAAACAACACAACCTGCCTATAAATAACCCATCCTCCCATAAACTGATCACCTCTGCCTCGGCCACGACCTCTTCGGCCTCTTTCTGTGCCTCTTCCAGAAGGTCCTCCACTCTTGGTGCCATCCAATCCATTTTCCTGACCCCTAACTGAAATACAAATAAACAAAACACATGGCCAGACAAAAGTCAATAGAATGTACATACATGTATACAAGCGACCCAATATAATTAGGGACACAAAAAACTCAAGACTATGAGCCGCAGGTACAGGATATGTGAGTTACTCAGTGAATGGTGATGAGTTACTGTAACAGACAACTGTATATAAAATAATTTTACAAATGACAAGTTATTTTTATACCAGTCTGTTGCTACAAAAAGGGTATACACAAAAGATGTTAATGTCTCATAACAGATGATGGTGAAAAAGGCAAAAGATGATACAATCATTCCTGGGTCCTGCCTGGCAGACCCTGACACAACCCTGGAATCATGACATTACTGACCCACAGCTGGTTTTGATAAAGCCCCATGCATACACTCTCGTCCTCGGCTGGCACCTCTCCCCCGTCTTGGTGGCCCTCCACGTCGTCGACTATAGTCTCTGTCTCGGTCTCGATTTTCTTTGCCTTCCTCATTGGGTTCCACTTGACCACCATCCTTCTGTCCTGAGACTCCTTTCTTCTTCCCGACCATCTCCCAAGAATGCTAAAGGACAGTAGAAAACATATGTTTAATCAAAATGGACTACCAGGAGATGAATGGTGAGATGACTAATTTATTCTCTTGGCATCTCAACACCCACACTTGTGGGCTCTGCTGTTACTTTGTTTGCAGCACCAGGGACTGAACACTGCGTCTTCACACTGAGCTGTATTTCTAGCCCTTGTCGTTTTCCAAGATGAGGTCCTAACTGGCCCACAATGCACTCAAACGTGGCATCTCCCTGCCTCGGCTTCCCAGGAGGCTGGGATTGTAGTAGTGTACATTCACATCCAGCATCAGTATCTATGTTTAAGATAGTTCTGTTAGAGTCTTAATTTTCTGTGTAATGAAAGATACAGGCAGGACCTAAAATAAAATATTTATACCCGTCAAAATTCAAGATTTTTTTTTTTTTTTTGCGGAGATGCTTACAAGAATTGGATTACAGGCCAGGTATGGTAGCACATGCCTGTAATCCCAGCACTTGAAAGAGTCTGATGCAGGAGGATCACTGCAAGCTCAAGGCCAGCCTGAACAACATCATGAAACCCTATCTCAAAAGATCAAAAAGAGCACACAAAAAAAGTAATGGGGGGGGGGCTGGTGAGATGGCTCAGTGGTCTAAAGCACCTACTTAGAACAAGCTTAGCAAAGCACAGGGACCGCGGTTCAAGACACAGGCAAACAGTGGCTGGAGAGATGGCTCAGTGGTCTAAAGCACCTACTTAGAACAAGCTT